AAGGAGGGACAGTGGGGCAGGGGCAGAGGTGACAAGAGGGCAGGATGGGAGATGGGCAGATGAGTGGGAAGAGTTGAAGTGGAATGAGAACGGCAGGGCAGGAGAAGTATGAGATCCTGACCTAACAACTGCAACTGGAACCATTAAAATTACCATCTCCAAGCAATGCAGTCTTGATGTTTCACCTAATGATCACATCGCTTAATAACAGAAATTCTGATCCCAATGGGGGTTGTTGAGCGAGGACTACCTGTATTTGATACTTCCTTCATTATCTACCACTCAGTTCAACTGCTCTGGAAAAAAAAAAAGTATTTTCCATGAGCCAGAAAAACAAAGGCTCTTGGATCATTGGGTTGTAAGATAACAATTTAAAACCATGGGCCTGAAAACAGGATATTAATATTCAGTAAAGCGTATCAGCTGTAACTGGCTAATCAGCCTCTTCAAGGCACGAATGTGTATGTGGCATGGAGTTCAATCAGGAAGTGAAAACATTTGCCCACTGGCTTTTATTGGAAAGAGAACTCCTGACTGGCGAACAGGGTGCTGGAAAAAATGCCAAGGAACAGAACCGGCGGGAAAGTCAGACTCCACCAAGCAAAACAGGCTCTTTGCAAATTAATCTTAAGTTTATAGTTCCCCCATCCAGCAGAGAGTTTTTCTTTGACTAGGTACACGTTCGGAATTGTTTCTCGTAATTTATTCTGAGCTGCTTTCTACTTGACTTCAGGGTCTAATTAAAGCTAGGAGGCTACATGGGGGGAGGGGGGGGAAGGGAGAACACATGTCCCTCTTTGTACTAAGGAAGTCATTCTTCATACTGACTGGTTTCCGGAAGGGGAGAAGTATCTGTCTCCGGGTAACGTGGAAAAAGTTGGCTGGGGTGGAGCAGTTTACCACGATCCAATTGCAGTCGTACAGCTGGCGCACGTCAAAGTCGTCTAGTTTCTGTCGGGAAAACAATGACAGGAGTTCAGAAAGGGGAGAAGAATTGCACGCATGACCGAAGCCGTCCAAGAACCTGAAAATCAACTGTGAAACACATCTCTGGGACCAGGGAAGGGGGTTCCCCTTAAAAGGTGAGAGGAAGCAAGAGCCGGCTGAAGCAGGGTGGAGTGAGATCCGAATTATGACAGGCCAGACCCTTTGAGGAGGATTTTTTCCCTTCTTCGTAAGCATGACGTTTTACGGCCTGGCGTAGTTTGATTATGTTTTAGTGGGGTTTTTGTATGGGGAATTTTTAGAGCAGGCCTGTTATTTAATTTGATTTTAGAACAGAAATCTGCGTATGTTTATCATGGTTTTTATTATCACCTGTTCACCGCCCTGAGTCCCGTAAGGGAGATAGGGCGGTATATAAATTCAATAAATAAATAAATAAATAAATAAATAAATAAATAAATAAATAAATAAATAAATAAATTCTTGTATTGCCCGTCTCAAACTGCGAGCAAAATCCGTGACACTTTGAAAGAGGTTGGAGATTGGATTGGAGGCCTCTCTAGTATTGCTATCTCAGATTGCCTGCCCTGAAGTAAAGCACCGAGGTGATTACGGAGCGTC